CACTTGTTCTATTCCTGGAAAGTGCTTACTTATGGAAAAAGGAATATGGAAGACAAGATGATGAAGAGTATGGCAGAGGAAGACACCATCGAAGCAGTAGTTCTGATATATAGCTTTGGGCCTGTGACTGTAATTAAGCAATACTTCTCGGCTTCTTCCAGCATATGTTTCCTGTCGCTGCGTTTCATCAATGACAAACATGGCCAGAAACTCAAACAAATGAGTGCTGCGTTGGCAAATCAAGATTTATTAGATGCATTTTGTTGTTGTTGTTCTGTATTCGTCTCTTTACCTGGAAGAGGGCGGCCATTAGCCACAGCTGAGGAGAAAAATATGTGTTTTTTTCCCCCGCCGGCTCGTGTGAGGATGTCATTGCTATGCGAGGTAATGTGACATCAAACAGGTTTGCGGTTATGTAAGGCCACAGTCTAATGTGTGTGCTCTTTCATGTGTCTTTGAAGTGAACGGTAGCAGCAGATAATGTCCCTGTTTGGACGGCAGCCAGATAAGAAGTTTCTTTCAGGAGTGAGAGTAAACAGTGGGTGCTGGAGCTACAGAGGATACAACGAACACCCAAAGGTCCAGTGTGATTCTGCACTTCTTCTTTGAATGATTTTGTATTTACACGTCTGACTGCTCTCATCCCGGTGGTCTCTACCTGACTGACTGTCTGCCTTGTAGGTCAGAGAAGATAAGAAGGGCATTAGTCTATTCTAATATATTCCAGCTCCCTCTTGCCGGCTGCAGGCCTCCAGTGTTTACTGTAGAACCTGCCCTGTCTTATTTTTCAATGTCAGAGTCGTCCTCCTGCTGACTTCTCGTTATTCAACACTTGAACGTCCCTGTCCTGTGAAGAGGAGCACATGAAGACAGCGTGTTAGTGAACTCAGCGACTGTTTGCCTGTAAATCTTCCCAGTGAGCTTAAACAGGTTAGTAATAGTTTATTGTTTAGACAGTGACTCACCCTGCTTCAGCACAAGGAAACTGAGCAGCAGGTTTTACTGTGTGGTAAAGAGGCGTCTGTCTGTCTGGGCCTGGGTGACAATAATCAGTTTATTTAATATATCTAATGTAACTCTTTATATTCTGTGTAAGAGGAAGCAAACACATAAAAACTTGATGTAAAGAGCTCGACATCCTCAGCAGCAGAGACACCCATGTCTTGCTGAGTTTAACTCAACCCTGCCCTCTGCGAACAGAGTTAAGACCAAGGAGGTTGAGCCAAAGCAGAGGTCCTGGTGTCGTGATGGAAGAGGCCTTGAAGCCTCACAGAATTGAATTTTCTATTAGTAACATCTCGGGAAGAATAAAAATGATGAATACGACGTTAGATACGAGGCGTATGAATGTCTGGGACTACACTATGTTGTATTTCTGACATTTTCTGACAAGAGTAGATTTTGGACTTAGCAGATTTTTCTACAGCTGAACAGTGAAATATGACGCGAGTAATCCTGTGATTTGTGTGTTCTGGGTCTGTGTCAGTGATTTCTATGTGAGAGGTCTCTGATGAAACTGATTCGGTGTAACGCTTGGACGGCAGGTTATCACACACTCTCCTGCCCCACAAACCCATTCAATCTCTCCGTCTCATTGTCAGAGCTGTGGACTCGTTTCTCTGGGAGCAGCTTTCCATTTCTGCCGACACCACTGAGAGAGGGATTCAAGGTTAATTTAGTTGGTAAAAGCTGCACTGAATCTTTGTATGCTAGTACAATGCTTTCTCCTCTATTTTTATTTAATTTAGCTCTCCTTTACTACCCTTGTTGTGAATGCACACACACACACACACACACACACACACACACACACACAAAGGGTAGAAAAAAGAGAAGCAAGCGTATAAAAGTATTTGCCATCCATTAGAGAACATAAAGGGCTCTGCAGCCTTGCAGCTACCTATGAAAACTCTGCCTGTTTTGTTTTTCCACATCGATATTTCCCTCCCTCAGTCTGACGTCTCTGTGCACTTCAAACCCGCTGAAGTGTGCATTCAAACAAGCTGTCAGCCACGAGAAATACACCGAGAGATCCAGGGACATTTTTCAAGATTAACTTTAAGTGTATTAAAAGGTAAAAAATTATGAATGAAAAATTAATAATGCAGAGCAGCTGTTGGTGAGAGCTCCTTGAAAGAACATGTTTAGATTCATGTTCTCTGAGGGTGAAATATGACAGCCAGTACTTGAGACACTGTTTTTCCACGTACTTAGAGACACTCATCTGATTGGGGCCGACGCTCTCTCTCCAAACCTCTTCACTTTTATTCATCTGTGTGGAGGAAGGTCTGGCTGAGCTTGACTTTCCTCCCTGTCTAGAGCTCTTACAGATGCAGACTGTTGATTGGGAGGTTGGTAAACTGACTGCTACTTGGGTCTATTAGGGAGTAAATGATTGAAGTGCTCATCGCTTTTTACTGCCTGGTGGCTGCTGTGAGGACAGCTCTGTAAAACCCCTGGAACTGCCTTTAAATGAGACATTCAAGTCTATCTGAGTTTACCAGAGCTGTACATACATTTGTTTTCACTTGCTTTTTGTTCTTCGGATCAGTCAGAGCAAGAAAATGTCTGGATATTCTGCTTTCATGTGATGTCTGCAGCCCCCCGCCTGCTGACTAACTCTGCATGGTCACCCCTTTGTTATTTTAGCCAGTGATGTCAACAGCACAGAGGCATTCAGTTTGCCAAGTTAAGTGGGAGTCCACATGCACATCGCTCTCCTGGTTGCACAAGTGACAAACACTTTCGGGCCTCAGCCTCTCTGCGTGGCACCTCGGTGTCATGTCAGCCTCTTTCATCACCGTCCATTCCTCACAGGATTAGAAACACGGGGCCGTGTAAGACCCTGTTGAAAGTAAAGCTTGTCCAGCTCCTGCTGTGGAAACTACAATCCTGTTTCATGCAGTACAAGTACAGTATCCAGGATTTAGGTCATGAAAAGACCGGTTTAGCTTTGCATTCCTGTAGCATCATCCAACTCATGATGGACAGTGAAAAACACGGATCTACACAGATGCAGTAGAACCAGGAAAACAGCTTTTTTTTTATGCCACACTCTCTTTTTTTCTCCTGGCTCCTACATTACCCACAGTGCAACTCGTCCGAGATTCAGGTGTGTTATGCTAGTAGTGGCTAATGTAGCCCCGAGCTGTTAGCCTCAAGCAGACATGAGGGGCGGGGCTACAGAGGTCAGGTAAACTCCAGAGCGACAGATTCTTTTCCTTTTCAGACTTGTAACATTCAACCCACACTGACTCGAGTGACATCACTTTTATCAGCGCCTTCTGTAGCCGCACAGGGTTTTCTTGGGAACTCCCTATAAGACGTGTAACTCTGGTTTCATACCTCTCAGGTTTGAAGGTTAGAATCGATCCATTTCGACTTTGCCTCTGATAGATTTTACAGTTTTTCGACAGTTCGTCTCTCATTAACGGCTTGCAGAGATCCAGACAATCTGAGCTGCAGCTTATCTGATCCAGACAACCACCCTGCAAACCCTCCTGGTCCGCACTCACCCTGCTTACCTGACACTTGTGAGAGGCCGCTGTCTGGATTGCATTCCTCTGTTGAAGGTTTGTGCCAGGGTTTTCTTTAAAGGCCACCATTTTCAGCGGAGGAGCGGTTGTGGCCTTAGGTTGTGAGCGTGCGCCTGTGTCTTTGTGTTTCTTCCTACAAAAGCCACGGATAGTTTGATAAAGAAGGTCATTAAAGTGTCATTAGGCAGTGAGCTCTGAGGCGCTGGGCCCTGAGAGATAAAACACAGGAGCACTGTGAGAGCTGGGAGGGATGGGTGCAGGGTTGGGATATGCAGCGCTGAGACGCAGACCCTCAGTGAACTCCAGAGAGACGCTACAGCAGGCTAGACCTCCGCACTCAAGAGATACCGCTCCTCGACTCGTTCACACAGCTCTCTTTGTGTTTTCTTCCCCATCATTCTGCTTTTCCCGACCTAACAGTCACTCCCTAAGCCCCCAGCGTGCGGCGAGATCATCGCTGAAAGCTTCCTACCTCTTCATCCTTGTTCTACGAGCACAATCCTTCACTACCAACACAGACCATCGATTCACTCGTACAGCTGTTGCATTGTAGCTCTCATGTGAGCAGTTTCTCACCGGCCGTGAAGCTGCTGCCCTTGAAAGTAGGAAAAACCAACATCTCCTGAAATCAATGCAGCTTAATGAACAAGTTCAAGCTTTTCCAGTGACCCCAGCTCTCCAAAGCTAAAACAACTATGACACCTGGCATTGTAATGAAAATCCAGCCAGCACTCAGTATAAATAAGAGCAGCATTGATAGCCTGTAGCGCAGTCGATAACTGCTTGGCAGCACAGGCTGGGAGACTTGACTCAATTTGTAAAAGTGAGCTGCTCTCTGGCTGCTGAGTGTCTGAGAGAGCTGATGCCACCCGAGTGCAGAGCGAGCGTCTTCTTCAGAAAACGCTGTTTTTGAGACGAGAGTTTCAAATGGATTTAAAGAGACATGAATCATTCTGCTTTGGAAGGTTTTATCAATTACAGGTCAGCAGTGCTTGGGTTGTTCAATACAGTAAGATCTGTGTTCTGCCACTACTGGACTTATAAAACTGTCTAGGTCATTATTTATTTTTTTATATGTGACACAAGGCAACAAATCTTAAGTCTGAGTGCAAGTGGAGGCACTTTAGCAGTGATGAAGCATCTAAATTACACACTTGACTTTGAGTCAGACTGTTTTCTTTTATGCAAAACCTCTACTGCCACCAAGTGGCTTTCAATCAGCACATCAGTCCAGAGAAACACATCCAGCCGTTGGGAGGTTAAAGGGTCAATTACCTCAAATTATGAAAAACTACTCACTCACATCCAGTAGCATCTACCTGTGCAGACGGTGTTAGGTCTCCCTGCCTTGGTGTTGAGGTGTCTTTCACAGTCAACAGGTTTTTTATCCTTCGCAAAAACAAAGTAGACATGAAGAATATGAATACACTGTCTAATGCTCTCTGTCTTGTATCTTCTCTGCAGTGTTCATCATGGCCGCCGGACTGCTGGTCTACCCCTTCGGCCTCAACTCCTCACTCGTCAGGTCCTTCTGCGGGGACTCTGACATCTACTACGCCGGCGAGTGCCAGATCGGCTGGGGCTACATGCTGGCTATTGTCGGAGTCATGCTCACCGTCTTCTTGCCCTTTTTTGCCAAATATGCACCGAAGGAGCAGCTGTCCCCCACCCCTCTGCCCACGCTGTTATAGTGCATTGAAATCTTGTTTTTTTTCCCCCTCCTGACCTGAGCTTGATGTCGCGGAGAGACACCTGCATCCCATTTTTTAAAGGCGATGCTGTTTGTGAAGCTGACACTCAGTGATAACTGAAGCTGACACTCAACAACAAACACTGTCTTCCTACATCATTATGTAATTAATTCAAATCTAGTTCATTTAAATGGAATGTCTTATGTTTCAATAAACTGTGGTTATAAGTTTTTCCCTCAAATCTGTCACGACTTTTCCACAGTTGGACTTCTCTGTTTTCTTCATGTCAGCTCTGGGGCTCAGTCGAAGGATGCATCGAGTAGAAACCCCATTTCACGCAGTTAAAGAAAACTTCCACAAACGTAACAAGTACTTGATTAAAATGTGTTTTTTTTTCCCTTCCTTTCATTTGTGGAAAAAAGTCAACATTTAGTATGCAACATTCCTTACAGACAGGAAGTTGTCTGCATAAAGACAGTGGAAGCATGAGATTGTGTGGCAGTATGACTCGACCAGTCTAATTATGTTTAAGAAAGAGGTCGTGAAGAACATTTGACTCCGAGAGAGAGACACTTTTATGGCGTTTGGACTGTACATATGAATTGGATTTAACAGAGCTGATGTCTGAGGCTTGAAAATAACAAAATTGAAAAGAGGACTTTTTCTGCCTCCCAGTCATGTGATCAGACAGTGAACCGGCGGGAGTCGAGAAGACGTTTTCACTTCCAACGACAGCGCTTTCAGTAACTGTCATTAAGAAAAGGACAACGAACACAGCATCAGACCTGCCGAGAGGATAAATGGAAATCTCTTCTCATAACAATGAAGTGATTCATAATGATATGTAGTGGTTTCAGAGCAGTGTTGTCAAATGTTTCATGTTGGGATACTGCATCCTTTTGTTAACCTTTTCCCTAGAATTGTTTGTGTAATGTAACTCCCTCGTTAAACATAGACATTTTTTATTTCTGTCTGCAACACACAATACTAAACACTAATTCAGGAAAAAAAATGACTGCAAAAGGCAGGGAGATGTAGGAATTGTGTCAAAATGCATGATAAGATGGGCTTTGTTAATGGTAGAACAATTGATCTAGATTTTAAATGTGATCTGACCAACTTGTGCCTTTTAACATAACCAAGACAAGTGTTTAATACGATTATCAGGTTATCATCTTTTTCTGCTGAAAAACTGTGGATCCTGTTGTGTGAAGTGATTTATTATTTTTCTTTTCTTCCTATTTTTTCCTCTCAGTATTAAAGTGTTTCTCGTGAACTTGATGCAGTATGATCTCATTAACTTGAGAAAATGTCCTGGAGGAAAAAAAAAAAAAAGAAAAAAAAGATGTCTTCTAATCCTCAGAGGTAATGGCAGAGAGAAGAAGAAAAAAAAGGAAAGCAAAGCACTTGTGTTCAATTATGCCCTGAGATATTTTTGCCAATTACCTAGAAGAGTTGAATCACTTGAATCGCTGTATTAAGAGGTTGTGACATGCAGCTAACAGATTAATTCCTGGAATCCTTGTCTTATGTGGTTCAGAATTTGAGTGGAAGCAGAAGGAGCTGTACAAATTGAACTTCGCCCTTTGTTATCTGTGCTGAACTGACACATTACTCACAAGATGTGTAAAACGTGGCTTCAAATAATTAGCTCCTCAAATAAGCAAATGTGTTGGTGTGTTTTCGTCAAACCACTTCTCCTTTTAAGCGCTGGCACCATTCCTGTCATGTTCCCAGGACAAAATGTCTCCTTCTCCACTTACTGTCCCTGTACACTGCCAATTTCATCAAGCTGGACTCCCTTTTCTAGTGGGTGTTTATGTGCGTATTAGTGTTTAATAATGGGTTGGTGTCTGCTAAGGGGTTAAACTTTAAATATCCCCAAAATTTGGGTTCCCATAATGACATATCCTGACATATAGAAAATTGCTGTCATTATGTTGCCATATTTGAAAGAAGGTCAGGAGAGAAGTGTTGGTATTGTATTGGACCTCATACTGTGCTTGACTATGGGAATGATTGGCGTGACTGCACTGGACTTGTTCCCCTATTTGTTGAACCATTGTGTGTAAAGTCTCAGCACTGGTGAAACTGTTTTGGTAGAGTAGATTATTGTTTTTTCCATTGTGATGTTTGACTGTAAATAAACTAACTGTACTTGATATCACATGTTATTCTTAACTGCCCCGTTTTTCAAAGATATATTTTGAGATATTACCTCATCGTGTTTGCTTTACTTGACTTAACCTCTAAACAATGTTTGCTGTTCTGTGAATTTTCTTTGTAATAAAAAATATTTCAGAACTTACAAAAACAGACGCTTCAATTTCCATTAAAGGTTTCGTTAAATGACAGAAACTCTTTTATATAATTGTTTCACAAATTAATACAAAAACATCTTTGCCAGAACATGCAAGTCAATTCAACGACAAACTAACAGCAACATCGCCCCTCACAGGTCGACAAGTTCAATAACACCTCAAATATGCTTTTTCAAACCAATAGAACTTCTACCTATAACAAGAGTATATCTAAGTAAGCTTGGCTTTCATGGACCGCCATCAAATACTACTTTACTTTCCTCCTATTAATCTTATCCTGCTGAAAATCTACTCATGCTCAGACTTCACTGAGGGATTTCACCAGCGCCCTCATCTCAGCATCACATGCTTTGATAGACTCCTGGGCATTCCTCAGCTCTGAGGGCAGGCAGGGCCTGATGGACACACACATGAGGACATCTCTGCTGCAGTCATAGTTACCCACACAGCGATGAACTTGACCACGGATGAGACGGGGCAGTTCTTGCTCCTGTTGGACAAGAGGCAGAAATGAAAGATTAACTCAAGTAAAACTGCAGTGTTAGTAAATCTTCCACATTTGATCCATCAAATAATCCATCAAAATGATAAAGAGCCATCATTTTATCTGACTGAGACTGAGAAGAGTCACAGCAAGTTAATATGAGCAAACTGAAACTGTCCTCTGATAAACTCAGGAAACATTCATTGGATTTTTCTTCTTAAGAGAAGCCTTTCTTCCTCACATTTTCATAGAAGACACACTGCACAGCCTCCTTCACGTCTCTTATGAGGAAGGTCTTAGCTCCGTGGCGACCCAGGGTAACCGCAGAGTCCAGAGTAGCTGAGGGAAGAGCACAGCCAGTCACATTAATCATGTTTAAAAATGCTAAAGAGTACATAACAAAACCAGCAGCAACTCCTAATCAACTGACCAAAGATCTCAAATAAGTACGAGACTTTGTCTTTGAACTGGCTCCAGTGTCTCATGCCATCAATAACTGCAGTCAGGATCCTCAGTGAGTTCTCAGGGGCTGGCTTCTTTGGAAATGTTTCCTGCTGAGCACATAAAAGTTACACTAATCACTAATGAAATCATGAAACATTAATGGGAAAGTTTAAAATGTCTGTGTATTATTATAAATTTTCTGTCTATTTCTACCTGGGTTTTAGTTGGTCGTGTTGTCTGAGGTTGATTTGAGCTCATTTTCCCCTCAAAGCAGGAACTCAGTGGCCCAAAGCTGTTGGTGAATTTCCAGGAGTTGTTTTGTGGTTGCACTGCACGAGCAGTGGGCGTGCTGGTGGGTGGAACAGGAGGAGGCAGAGGTCTAGACTGCTGAGGATACTGATGTGTGGGATCGGGCGGTCTGTAAGATAACTGCTGACCCCTCTGAGACCACCCAATATGGGATGTTGGCTTGGTTTGTGCACTCTCACTGCTGGAGGGAGTTTGATATTTGTTCTGTCTGGAATCCTGTTGTCTGGTTGGGTAGCTGGGCTGTCTCGTCTTAGAACTGAAATGAAAATAAACTACCTGTTTTCACATATTGGGATCTAAAATCAAAACTGAAACACCAGGCATGTGTCTTTTTAAACTTTTTTTTATTAACTGAATATATCAAAAATATTTTAAGAAAGCAGTCTGACTTCAACAGGTTGTGGGTTTGACATTCTGGATTTTTGAGTATTTTTTCATTAATATTGCATTACAACAAATGGGTCAAACAAAGGTCAATAAAACACACCTTGAGCTTCCAACTTTGTATGGATGTGGCACAGGTGCAAAGGCTCTCATTGTAGGGGCAGGTCCAGGAGCAGGTCTGTTGCTTTCATACTGCTGGGGCTGAGTGGACTGTGAGACACCCTGTCTGTAACACTGGTGGCTTTGTGAGGGACCAGAAGAAGGACCTGAGGCCTGGTAACCTCCATAGGTACCTGAGGAAAAGTACATTCACAGAAGAAAATATGGCAGCTTCCACTGAAGCTGTGAATGGTTATCTTAATTCATAGGGAGACCATTTACATTATTGTCCTTTGTTTTATGTAAAATGGTCTCAACTGTATGATTCAACAGGAGATGGTGATTTTGAGCAGTCAGACATTAAACAGCAAGAACTTTTAGATGACCTGACAAGGTATTGTTCAAGATGACTTTTTATTTAAAGCTCATGTATACTTTTCTGTGGGTGTACTGCCACCTAGTGCCTGAAATACAGTAGAAACTTAAAGATCCCAGCTGATTGCCTCACCTGGTGTGCTGTGAGATGGAGCTGCACTGGTGTTTGCCTCGTATTCACTGTGGGAAAAGAATTCATTCACAGAAGGAGCAGATGTCAGAGGAACTCTGTTTCTTTTCTTCTGGTTAAAGAGTGGCACAGAGAGGCAGCCTGATGGAGACATCACAGGAAATACAGCTGAACATATAATACAGATTTACCTATACACACTGTACATTATGCGATGCTATGTATATCATACCACAATTTATAATCTATTTCACAAGACTGATTGAACTTGGCGTTAATCAAAGTAACCCATTAACATCAGGGAATGAATACACTCTATTACAAACCTGCAGCTGGCTTGGCTGACTGGTTTTCCTGTCTCCACATTATGGTTGCTTAGAAAAAGCTCATCCAGCTAACAGCTGCTGTAAGCTACAAGGAGAGATGCACCACAAACAAAAATAAAATAACTAAAACTACTACTAATTATAATTAATTCCCTGGTTAGTGTTGGTCACTCACTTGGTTTCAAAAAGTGATAGTTTAATTCAATTGTAAAGACTTTATCAGTTAACATATTGATTTGGTGTCTTGTCAGTTTAGCAGTCTAAGTTAACTAGCTAGGTTAGTTAGCCAAAAAGCTAGTAGCTAGCAGCTTGTCCAGCGAGTTAAGTACCAAGAGGCGACCCTAACATGACGGATATGATGTTCGGCTATGTTTTACTCAAACAATACCGAACCAATCTATTTACTATGAATATTATATATTAGTTACTAACGGTTTGATGTCCAATAACGTTAGCTAAAGTTAAATTTAGTTCCAGACCTGCACTTACTTCGCGCCAGAAGTAACGAATGTTGCCTTCAAGTTCCCGTAGTAAGTTCGGAGTTCATTAACGCAACTAAGAGGAGATTCAAATGCTGTTAATTTCCTGTGTCTGACAGCCCGTGTTTGCGGTAAAATGAGTGAAAAAGTATGTGAGGCAACGATGACAGTATATTTATTGTGTGTACATCACCATCATTTGTTGACATGACTTCAATGTACCCAGGTAATAATATAAAAAGAAAATGTAGGGAACCCGTGTATGGTCAAACCTCCTTTGACACCACTAACCTCAAACAAGCTTTTCCAGTAGCTGCTGATCAGACCTGCACAATTTTAGGTTTGCCAAAGAGCAAACTTTAGCTCAGACATATTCTTTGTCTGGTGTGAGCAGCTGTCTGAGGTCAATCCATAGTAACTCTATTGGATTAAGGTCTGGGCTCTGACTCCAACAGGTGGATTTTCTTTGTTGAAGTAAGTCTGTTGTAGATTTACCTCAATGTTTAGGGTCATTGTCCTACTGCAGCTTCTCCTGAGCTTCATGTTCAGGTGGATACACACAATGACATTGTCCTGGAGGAGACCTTGATAAAATTGGGAATTCATGGCCCTCCTGTCCTTAAGGCATTATTACTTGTCAGGTGTAACCCATTTTACGTAGCTAAGTGGAAGAGTAGAGAGTTATCTTTAATAGACACGCCAATACAGTCACTGCTTGGCCATGTTGACAAGGAGAAGGAAATATCACATGGAGTCACTGGGTGAGTTTTTTGCTGAAAGTTTAGGTGGAAATAGTTCAACATCTCCAACTCCAAAGAGAGGTTAAATTACTTAGATGGCCAGCACATGATCCTGACTTCATGCCAGCTTTGTTAGATTGCAGATACAGACTGGATCTATTTTGGCATCATTCCCATATGCAAGATTGTCAGCAAAAGGGAGCTTGAAACTTTTTGATAATTTATGTCAGACATGCAGGACTTTTAAAGGTATTTACAGCTCTGTGATTATTTGTGTAAAAAAGTGAAAGGCTCTAATCCAAGAGAACCGTCAATTGTAATTCATATATTTATTGATGCTTACAACTAGGGAAACAATAAAGGTCTTATAAGCAAGCTATATCATGGCATCACATCACTGAACAAAGGTACCACGGACTATGTAAAACAACGATGGGAAAAAGTCCCAAATTGAAATAACTGAAGATATGTGGCACATGTACAGTCATCCTCCACCAACTCCTGAACCTGGAGAGACCTCTGCTAGAACAAAGCTTTTTTAATCCCTCCTAACCAGAATCTAAACAAACTGGTACATATCCAACCTGCTGGAGGGAATGTGGAGGATTTATTGTGGATCAAGCTCATGTCTTATGGTCTTGTCCTTCTATCCAGCCTTTTTGGAAGGCAGTTATCTCAAAACCCCTGGGTTTTAATGTCAATATAACATTCACATCCCTCTATCACATCCCTGATGGACTAAGCAAAGATGATACCTGTCTCCTAACGATGATGCTGGAATCAAGTAAAAAAGCAGTAAAAAATGCTGGCTTCAGAAGAACTGTCCGACTGCTTGACTCTTTATCAATATTGTCAAACATCTGCATCTTCCAGAACGGATAACTGACTCCATGGTCAAAGGGTGTGTTTATTTAGCCAATGAGACAGATTCTTTATAAGTATGTAACTCTATATTCCTCTTTAAATAAGGCAAATTGGCCTTGAGTCAGTGACCATCCCATGATCTCATGTCTGTTTCTTCCTCCTTTTTCCCTGCTTGTTATTTTCATAATTTTTATAATAATGGAAAATATTCATAAATGAAAAGTAAAAAAAAAAGCTTAATTACTGTGGTTTGTATTTTTATTTACTTATTTATTTTGTAGTGAAAACAGAACAAAACAGAAGAAGTGTGGACAGATATAAATCACTGGAAAGTGAATCTGAATGATTTTTATCTGACAAATGATAACACACATAATGTGAAGTCATTTTACAGAGTTAGTTAAGACCTGACAATGTTACAGAGAGAAACTGCTGCTGCAGTCGGTGTCTGCAGAGCCACAGTTTGTCATGATCACACATGTTTATGTCCCGTTGTTGTTGTTGTTGTTGTTGTTACTGTTGTTGTTGTTTTTGTTGTTGACCAGGACTTTTTTGTCCTTGTCTTCTTCCTCTCCTCCTCCTCCTCTCCTTTCTGCTCCTCCTGCTCCCCTTGCACCTCCTCTTCCTTCCCCTCCTCTTTCCACTCCTTCTCTTCTTGCCCCTGAAAAAAAGGCAGGTGGTCTAAAAATGATAAAAGCTGCTCTGTAATGAACAGTTTGTAAACCCTGCGTCTGAACAGCAGCTGTCCACATCTGTCCTGATCTGAGTGGTAAATCTGCCACTGTTTGCATTATAAACTGCATATGCACAACAACAGAAAACATGGCAGACATAGCAACAGTAACTAAGGAGAGCAGGGCTGTTAGATGATGACTAAAACCAGGAAAATAAAAATAAAAGATGAGCTAAATATTGTCTTAATGGGCCGAGTTGAGGACTCACTTGCTGGGTTTGAGGTCACGATGTAAGATGCCGTAGCTGTGGATGTGACAAGCGAACCATGTCGACTGGGAGACGCTTGTAGTGGTTCAGCAGGGTGGCACAGTCTCCACCCACAGGGTCAGAGAGTGTCAGGTGTTATGTTCAGGTCCTCCTAGTGTGTGTGTACAGTGGGCGCAGAGAGGGGACAGTCAGGTTGATACCGTACTTCATACTCTGTCAGCGAGCACTGTCCCTGTTCATTAAACACACATGACACAAAGCAGCCTCCTCACCTCCCACATACTCCATCACCATGCACAGCTCCCTCTGGGTCTCAAAGGAGCAGAACATGGAGACAACAAAGTGGATGTCTGTGAAGGTGAGGATGTCCTGTTCCACCAACACCTGCCGTTTGATGAGCTTCATGACAAAAGCTCGACCAGTCTCCGTGTGACGCACGAGGTTCACAGTCCTGCACAAAACACAGAAACATGAGCAGCTTCTGTGACTGAACATCAGCTCTGATTTAAAGAAACTGTCCAGACAGATTCTTAATGCGAGCACAAACAACTTCTATAACATCCTTGCTCTACTCTGACTGGACTCCAGAGAAAGACGTCTGTCTCACTCACCCGAAGGCGCCACTGCTCACAGGCTTCACTGTGCTGAAGTCATTGATCCCTGGTTTCCTCAGAGGAGGACTCCAGGCTTTGCGGGTCTGAATCAGACACATAAAATATACGATAGACGAATAAACACAACACAGAAAAGTACTTAAGGTGTGAGTGAAGTGAAGAAAAGCAACTCTGCCCTTTTCACTTTATCTATTGGGCCCTGACAGGTTTTCATAGAGGACTGTGTAACAGGTTCAAATTAAGTTTAGGAACAAACAATATAACTCTGTTATTTACAGTCCATACAAATAGAAGTCAACAAGTACAAGAGAAATCACAGTGTGGTTAATAAACATGGTTCCCTTTATAATGATAATAAATCAGGAGGGAATCAGGACACTAATCATATCCAAATGTACATATGTACATATATTGAATTTCCATATATGAACTATATTTACATATAAAATAAAAGCACGTGTAAAAAAAAAAAAAAGAAACCTATAAGAAATTGGAACAATATCATATATTGACATATATGTCTAGCCCATACAAAGATCTATGTTTATTATGCTTATATTAAAGACATTTTAATTATCATACAATATATATCCATCTCAAAGCCTCAGTATATGTTGACATCATAAACAGCAGAGTCCAAAAGTCTGGTACTACTTTCCCTGAATTAGAACATAGACATGTTCAAAATTAATTAGAAATTAATAAAGAAACACATATATCAACTTTTTTGAATTTTTATATGCAAATTATAAACTTGCATATATAAATTAAATACATATTGTTAAAATATATGCTCACATGTTATACCATGTAAAAATTCATCATATATTCATTTATCATATATATATTTCATATAGCCTGTGTTATAAACTTCATATATCCAGAAGATATATATATGTGATTGTATATGATTGCATGTGATTACAAATGAGACAAAGAAAGTGACGTGTGAGTGTCCCGTCAGTCTGACAGATAAGCACCTACCTCATGGAGAAGCTTCTCCAGTTTGTCCTGCAGCTGCAGAAAGTAGCGGGAGCTGACCAGACCGCTGTGGACCGTGTTGTCACAGTCTCTGGCCGGAGCAGGGACATAAGAGTTTTGTGATTTTAAGTCAGGAAACATCTTAAAATCTGTTCCCAAATCAAGGAGTCACTGTATAGATTAATAATTGTAATAATAACCATTAATGAAACAAGGTGTTATAGTAGTGTATAGAGCAGGTGAAGCATTCAAAGCATCAATAACTTTGTCTGAATCTGGAAATGATGTTAAACAACAAGTAGATAAAGAGAGAAGACATCAGGAGGAAAGGTCTGGTTCATAATGAAAAATCAGTGAAAAATAATGATTTGTTGATAAAATAAAATAAATACTTACATGCTGCTTGTTGGAAATATTGTTGTTGTTTTCCTTCACTGGAAACAAGCAGTTAACGATTGTGTTTAGTTTTCCAAACGCTGTTCTTTAACTGAAAGGAGAAAGTTTGTGTTGTCTTTATCGGACGTGACTAAAACTGAACAGAAAAGTTTCTCTGCTGAGTTTACAATAACCTCTATGAAGAATCTCTCTGTTCTGAGCTTGATGACACCTCTTCAGTCTGTCTGTCTCAGCTTCCATCATTATGACACACACACACACACACACACACACATTCCATTCCACACACACACACACACACACATTCCATTCCACACATACACATACACACACACACACACACACACACACACACACACACACACACACACACACACACATTTCTATATTAACACTTTCAGGTACTGTGGGGCCTGTGAACACAGCCCTGCCTGGGCTGACTCCTCCCCCAGCCAACCCCCTCATCAGGTGATAAAGGACACCTGCTGGCTTCTGTCAGTCTCTTGCTGGTTCCTGTCAGTTGTGGCTCGTACTGGCCACAGGTAAGTGGTAAAAACAAAAGCATCATTTTACACCCACCAGTCACCTTGCTTCTTACCTGTACTGCCTCTATTTCAGCGGTGCCTCCTCATCCAATTCTAAACCTGTTCATCCATAGTGGGCCAGTCATGCTCCATAGCAGAGGTGCTGTTTAAGGCCCCTTTTTAAATTATAACTTTATACAGCATGGTGAGCCAACTAATTCTGTTTTCCTTTTTAGGTTCACCTGCTGTGGTTTTGCCTTTAGTAGTTTTATTGGTTCTATTTGTTTAGTCGACTGGGTTGTTTGTGGTTGTTTAGTTCCTTCTTTGTTCTTCTTATTCTTTGGTTGTTTATTAGTCTGTTGCTTATTTAATTGTGATTAATTGCTTTTGTATTAGCTTTTCTTTTGCAGTGTAGCTGAGTGCTGCCAGGGTGAGGTCACCCACACTTCATGCATGCAGGTAAGAGCGCTGGGACATGTGTTTCTGGATCCTGTTTGCTGTGAGGATTGGTGACTGAGTTGTAGCTCACTGTTCCTTTTTTTTTTTTTTTTTTTTTTTTTTTTTTTTTTTCTTGTTGGACTGGTTTTAGGTGTTTTAGTAACGATAATCTTGTACTCCACCTTTTTACGAAATGTATGCATGGAATAAAATGGTTTTATTCCTTATGTTTGTTTTGATACTCATTTGTTTTTAATATAATTCTCCTTTTCACATATAATTCTCCTTTTCACTCAAATTTTATTCTGAAAGAGTGTGTGTGCATTTACACAAGTAAATCATGTGTAAGACTGAGAGGAGTCAGTTAAAATCAACACTGTTGGGGAGTGCTTCCTTCATGAACATGTTAAGTAGATTTAACACTGAAAATTATTTCTGATTAACACTTAAACTCAAATTTTAAAAACACTATAGTTATTTCCCTCAGTGTCAAACTTCTCAGTGTAGTGTAAAATATTAACTCTAATTAAACTAATTACCAGAGTTGAATTGAAAATGTAACATTGTTCAGTGTATATTTTACTCTGTAGATTAGGACCGTATGTTCACTGACTTGGTGTTAAGTGTTATATTAACACTGTTGGATTTGAATCTGTAGTTTTGTCTTTTCCACCACTGGATGGTGGAAGTTTTCATATACTCAACCTAATACTTTTACATAATTAAATAACATCTAAATGTAAATCATACCTTTACTCAGTTTTAGTAATAAGTGCCTAATTTTATTAGATTCTCCAAATAAAGTACAAAGAAATTCATAAAACTTGAATTTAAAATGTTTGATAAATTGCACATCTTTAGACTTTTTTTTTTTTTTTTTTTAATATAAATCTTCCTCAGTCCAAACTCCAGACCCAGTTTTCCTTCAGCCTCTCATACCTGATTTATTCAAAGAACTGCCAGACAGCCATGTCTGAGCCACAGCCCGCCACTGAAAATGGAAGTTGTGTCGCTTGAAATCACATTTCCAATCACATTCGAGACTGATCCAGTATTTGTGGAGCGAATTGTGAATTCAGAAATGATTTTGTTCAGCAGGCAAGTCTGCCGCTGTGTGAATTTGAGTCATCTTAGAAATCATGTTTTTTTTTTTATCTTCATGTTCTGTTTATTTTCTATTATTTTTATTTGTTTTCATAAATTGTGCATTTTGTTTCTTTTGATCACATGTTTATTAGAGGCACCGTAGATGAGTCTGGCTTGAACATAAGTTGAGAGCACAAGATACTGACACCTTGAAGGGTCTGAACTGTCACATGTCAGTGAAGGAACATAGAGCACCACACACTGTGTCCACCCTGTGATGCAACAACTGGGCAAGAAGGACATAAAATGAAAGAGGGAAAAAAAATAAAATTCATTCCTCTGGGCAGAAATGAAGAGGTGACAGCTGGGCTCAGTAATGTGGAGACGTATGCACTCTTCCACTACTTGCATGATTGTGTTGTTTTGGGTCTGAATTTTTTTCATCCTGTATGAAACTTTGCAATACAAATGAAGTGTTTTGCATTGAGGATGATAATTTACAAACAACACAAAAAAAATGGCAGAAGAGGTAAGAACATGACAATTTTATAAATGTGTAATATTTTAGTTGTTATGCAATACTGAGTGTGTAATTAAAATGTACTGTGTGTACATGTGTGTGATGACATTCTCCTATCTGCCCTCGTGAAGTGGAGAAGAGAGAAAGAGAGAGAGAGAGAGCAAAACAACAGCCAGTGTCAGCCCCTCTCACTCATCCCTGCAGGATCCTCCCACTGTAGCTACAGGAAACACCATTCTCAATCAAATCATTGGCGTGTATTAAAGTCTGTAAAGAAGACAGTCAGATGTTATAAGCTTCAGCTTATTGGACCTCACCTGACTCTTGTAGTGTTTCTGGGGATGAACTCAGGTAAACAGAGCTGAGGTCATCTTTCTGGTTTGAGTCTATAAGGTATGACAAGAGCAAGGCTGCAGAACTACCAGCTCTGCACTTTGTTATGCACACGGCCTGAGGCTAATGTCAGCCTCTGTGTGTCTATGTGACATCTTCTCTGAGAGTCTGAAGGCCATTCTTTGCTTGTGACACACACCACGGCTTCTCGTATTTCCTGGGTCTGTGAATCTATGGCAACAGCAGCCTGAACGGTTTAATGAGGATGGCCTTCATAACATCATTTGCCTCTGGGAGACACTGGATCTTCAGTAAATCAAACCCATTTATTAACTTCACAAGTATGTTGGATATGTCCACACTTCAGCTGGTGTAACTTTGGCTTAATAACGCCACATTGACAGAGAGAGAGAGGGATTTACAAATACCGCAGACCACCTACAGTTACTTGAGTGAAAACAGTGGGAAACCTGGTTGTATAATCCTCACAGGCCACCTGCTCCTCAGTTTCTAAAAGTGACCTGTTCGTCATATAATGAAAATGTAATATCATATAATGCAATATAATGGTGGCATATAAATAATGAGTATCTATTAATAACAATAGGATATGACGGCATCATGTGATTTAAGTTCCCATAAAAGCTCATACGCTGTACAATCTACAGGATTTACTCATGAATATATCAAAAGAGTATTTGTGTTTAGTTCCTAGCCAGAAATGATCAGCTTCAGTGATTATAACTCTTACAATAATTGTTAAAGATTTAATGACTGACACTCATGATATTGTCTGATGTTCAGGTGATGAGATTTGCTTTCTCACTTCCTGTCTTTGACTTATCTAGCCTCATCTATCTCCATGTACCTCTGTACACCTCAAAGAACATGTAGCACATCTTATGTAACATACTTCTACTTTCCCCCCTCATTTTCTGTTTTTTTTTTCTGGAAGCTACATGTCCCCAATAATACCCTCTCGAGTGAAGCTGAAAAAATCTGATCATTGATTACGGATTTCATCCATCCCTAACTGGCAACCTCCATGTTGTTCAGGGGGAGGCGCTAGTCCGCAGTAGTTTCTGGAAGGAACCTCATGCTTGCACCATGGAGAAAGTGAGTATCCAGCAACTCCTCACAATTACTACTTCCACAACACAGATATTTAATTGATACCGACGTATTTCTCCGAGTTACATTAATTTTAAGTCTCAGTATAGTATAAATTTTAAGGTTAGTGTAGTTAGCCACCTCTTTACACGGGGACTTCAATGTTTGCTAATATCAGGCATCTAGCTAGCTTGTTAGCTTAGCGTCAATCCGGTAGTAATGTGTTTTAGCTCTTTGGCTGATGTTGTGTGATTGGGCTTGATTATGTAAATCAACATTAAACATTTTAACAGCGCTAGACTACAGAGTAGTTAGTTAGCTAAACTTTTAATCCCAAGAAGTGCAAACTTGAAGATGTTTAGTGCTTGTCATTTGTGCACGGTTGTGGCTAATTCATGGTTGTACTCGACAAGGTTAGCTAACTGTTAAGCTAACGTGTAGGACTTAAATTTGTCACAGCTACTGCAGGAAGGTTTTCCTGCCCCTGTAGTCCGTGCCTCGATACAACAAAGCAGTTCGCTAACCCCTTAGCAATTCACGGGTAAAATAGCCTCTAACAAGTAATCCCCGAGTTAGCAAATCACCATGTAACAGCTAACATTAGCCCACAATGTGAACGCTACCATTAACAAGGTGACGGACAAATGAGAGTCGTAATTGCATCCTTTTAATAAAACGCTGTGTCAGAGGACCGACAGCCTAAACTGCGGCAGTCAGTAGCACATGCTGCAGGA